AAAAAAAAAAAAAAAAAAAAGAACCTCAAAAAATTCCGAAAAACAAATATGTTATGAAGAACAATAAAATAAACAATATTTCCCTGAGCATTACATCTAAATTCGTTACCAAATTGGAAACAAAAAAATAGAAAACAGAAAATAAAAAAAGTAAAAAAAGAATTGAAATTAGTGAGCGAACACGATTTGACACCGCCATCTTTGGCGATTTATCATTTTTTTTTGCCTTAGCAAAATGACTCCAAAATTGAGAGGCATGTATCTCACATCATTCAAAACTCATAGAAAAACAATCAGAAAATAAAAAAAAAAGGTATTAAAATGATTTTTTTTTTAAATAAAAAAATAAAAAAATAATTGAACGCCGTTCAATTTTGAACGTGAACGCGGAAACGCACATTTGAACGCGAACGCGCGTTCACGGCGTTCAAACAGTTACACAGTTGGAATCTCGTTGTTTTCGTGCCGCGGCAGCACAACCTCTCATTTCTGGCCAGCATGCACCATCTTTCTTTCGTAAAGCTGTTGGAAGGGAAGTGGGTGAGGACGAGTCAGCAAAAGAAAAGCTTCCCCGTGGGGAACAATCTGTACACGGAAGATGACCGCATGTACATCCTTTTCAAGGGTGACGATCTGCGCGTCAACACATCCCTTGTCTACGAGGGAAGACTGCTAAAGGGTGCCGCTGCTGCGGTGCGGTTGCCTCAGAGGGTTACCTAGACGGATGTGTCGGAGATTCCCTTCACGCCTTGCGACTAGTCGCAGACCGCGCCTAAGAGACAGGGCAGTGTCTACGGGGACATGGAACGCAATCTGACATAATTCGTCGGTCTTCTTGATTTCGTTAGCAAGAAGGGAGAGGATGTCATCTTCCTTGGGAAGCCGCACACTCAAAACATGTGGGAACTTCTGAAGGCAGGTCGGCACGCTATCGCGATGGAAGGAAACTCCGACCTCTTGCAATTCACGATGCAACTCGTCAAAAGCGAGGTCAATTTGGGGGCCCACAATTGCGAGTTCATGGTCGTGAAGGCGCCACGGGATTAGATGTGGAGCAACAAGACGGACATATGGTTCAAGTTGAGTGAGAGGAAGAGGAACAAGATATACGACATCTTGTTCCTTCAAACAGACACTTACGCCGAGTACGTCCGCCGCACGAACCACATGTTGGCATTGCTCGATAACCACCAACCTCCCGCATGAACGCAACGACCGTTCTCGATAGGTTGCTGTCCCTTTACTTCGTTGAGTCCGAGGAGGAGTTGAAGTTCGGCAGTTACGCTTCCTTGATCTCCACTGACGACGAGGCAGCCGCCGGTGAGGAGTTCGACACCAATGCGAAGAAGGAGGAGAGCGACACCGAGAGCCTCGACCTGCAGTATGACCCAGCTCCGGCGGAGCACGCCCGAGGGTCTTCGTCGGCCGGTCCGTCGACAAGCCCGACACCCCTCTTGTCGCCGATGGCCAGACCGGCACCGGGCACCACTCCGATGAAGTTGTTGGAGAGACTGAGAGCTCTGGCCGTCCCCCCACGTGCGTTGTGTCTTGGGTCCGACGTCCAGCCCGATCATCCATCTTGGAAGGATGACAACATCCACTTCCTTCTTGAGTCACAAAGTCATTCGCCTGAGGTGGACTGGGGCCATGACATGATTTAGCATCCAGGAGTCATCCAGCCCGCGATACAAAAGGGCGAGTGGGTCATGGCCATCGCAGTCCCGGTCGCGAGATGGGTGTCCATCCCTCGCGAGTCGAAGTCCAGTTTCCTGCACCTTGCGAGGATTTCGGTTCTCCAGAAAGTGAGGGCTGAAAATGACACGTTTGCACCCGACGACTTGTCCGTCGTTTCCACAACCGGACGACTGTTCGACGAGCTTCAGGACAAGTGCTGGTTGGAATTGACGGAGGACTACTACGAGCTCGACACGAGCCCGTCGAAGGGCATGGTAGGCTGGAAAGTGCCCCCTCCTAGTGGGGCGCACGGGAGTTCCGAGGGGGGGGGCACCAGGCAGTGGAGGGGACGGAGGTGGCAGTGCGGGGGGTGGAAAAGGAGTCCCGCGTAGTGGGGAGGGACGGTCTCACGGCGGCACCACGACAGCGGGAAGCAGTGGTGGGGTGGCGGGTTTTGTCGTTGATCGGCATCCGTCTACTGATCCCAGGCCGGAGCCTACGACGCAGTCCGCCAACCTCCCGAGTTCGTCCGTGGGCTCAACGAGGGAAACGTTGGCAGCCTTGGTTGCTCTCGGCAGCCGCTCAGGCGGAACGTTGAAGTCCACCGGGATCCGAACTACGTTGGTTGAGGTGCCCCAAGAGCGGTCCACTGTGCAGAGCCGCTCGGGGTTGGGGGAGTCGAGCCAGGATCCCGCAATTGGCAGCGGTGCGGTGAGGGACGGAAATGTGTGGCCTAAGCGGGGGTGACGACCGCTAGGATTGCAGCGAGACCCTACAAGTGCAGGGTCTAGCGACACAGAGACGACGAAGTCCGCCGAGATTCGAACTTCTTCAGGCGGGAGGGGTCAGCCAAGGATTGTCGTACCGCCGGGAGGGGCAGCATGCACGGAGACAGAAGGGCGGTCGTCGGGATTCAACACGGGTACCGGAGAAAGACCTGGATTGCATGGAAGGGAAGGAGAGGAGGAAATGGAGGAAGGGAAGGAAGGGGAAGAAGGGGAGGAAGAAGGGGAAGAAGGGGGGGAAGGGGAGGAAGGGGGAGAAAAGGAGCTGATTGAATTGCTTGAAGGCAGAGAGGGTGCCAAAGGGGACATGGGTATTGGAGACGACGAGGGGGAGGACAATGAGGACGATGCCGAATCTGGAGAATCGTCTGACGAGTTCGGACAACTGTACAAAGAGCATCACGAGGATGATGTCGACGACGATGCCACGACAATGGAGATGGAGACACAAGTGGTTAGCAACCTGTCTGCAGAGCCTGAAGACTATGAGGTCCAACCACTGACGTCTGTCGTCAATCTGCAACACCGGTTTGACGAGGCTTCCATTGCTATGAGCCCATCTAAAGCAAGCCGTCGTATAAGCATCGAAGAAGTTATCAACGGTATCCTCGGCGACCAGCACGTGTCCGCGCATCTGTCCACAACGCCTGACGTTGATGACGCTCGCAACGTCAAATCATCCGTGGCAGCTGCCCTCGCTTTCTCGCCGCCGAACTCACTGGTAGTGCCGGCCACCCTCGCCGGTGGAGGGGAAGGCGATGTCAGGGGACGACAACATGTCACGTCCCCTAAAAAAATTAGGATCGGCACTCAAGCTCTCGACGTGCTCGCTTTGCCGACGCCAACTTCACCGACGAAGGAGCGGAGAGACAAACCGACTGGTAAGCTGTGAAGAACACCACACCGTCTGCGCGTCCAGGCTTACGAAAACGAGAACGGGGCTTCCTTCGTAGTCCGGATGTCGATGGACTACGGTCCGCGCCATACACACAACGACTGTTTACACTGTCTGTCGATACGGGAAGTTCAGGATACCGACATACTACAGCCACCAGTCCTTCCAACTGCATGTCATCGACTTTTCTGTTAGTCAGTCAGGTTGCTAGTCGTGGGCAGGGAAGACTTTATCGAAAACATAACACTCCATTAAAGGAAGGATCTATCTTTCTATGAAATGTTTTTTTATTGAAGCATTCCCTCGCAAAAGTCTCCCTGGCTAAGAAATTGGCCAACTAAATGGAATGACGGTTTTTTCTTCTCAGAAAAAGTGGTGGTTTAAGTCCGCCGGGATCCGAACTTCCTATGTCGATGCGTAATGTGGTTAGTCTCAGTGGGCCCGATGGGGAAAAAAATCCGCCGCAATCCGAACTTCAGGGAATGTTGGCCTTCCGCTTCTGTGACTTGTGGTGGCTTTCCCTTCTGAAGGGTGGGGGTGTTAAGCTCGAATGCGCTAGTCGTTTTGTTTTTCAGCCACACACACGCACCTCCGTGCTCATGACCATGCAAAATCGGGGTTCTATAATTGGAGAGGTCCTGCGTGATTATTGCGCCTTTACGATTATATGGTTCTCACATTGTCACTTTCCTCGGATTCGTGTTGGAAAATGTATATTCATTTTCCGTTCTATCTTTCTTCTGTTGTACAGGGGTGGGGCCATCTTGAACACGGAGGTCCTCGAAATATTCGAAACACATATTGTAAAAAGTCCCCGGGTTGACGACAAAACACAAGGATATGTTTTTGCCTTCTGGCCCCAAATAAAGAGACATATCCACGATCTGTGACTAAGGGTCAGGCCATGTATGAGAGATACTTAGCGACGCGTGCAACGGGGGACAATGCTTAGAACTTCGTTTCTCACTACCCCACGTGTCCTTTGCTCGATATTGTGCAGTGGGGGCCACAACACGTGGAACAGGAGGGTATAGATTCGCTGCAACGACTATGCCTCGAAGCTTGCGGGTTTTGGACGCCATTAAACGAGGCTCGGTGTCACCTCACACTGTTCTCTCTATCCTAGCCGATGGTCAATTGCGAATAGCAACAAAAGATCTCTCCACCCTCTTGCATATCGACGGCAGGGTGAATGATGAGGTGGTCAATTTCTATATGGCGTTATTGAGGTCGACCGCATGTGCGTCACGTGTCATCCCGTCAGGCCTTCAAGTCTTCAACTTTAATCCGTTCTTTTTCACTAAACTGCAACTTCAAGGACACGGTGGGGTGGAGAGGTGTGCTAAAAACGTAGATTTGTTTCGATGCGATATTATCTTCATTCCGGTCCACAAAGATAATGATCACTGGATCATCCTTTTCATAAACTTGAGAGATAATGTCCTCGAAATTTTTTATTCTTTTCTTCGCGTTGTAGCTGATTTGAGTTATTACATTAGTATTTTCGAGTTGATTGTACAATATTTGGAATGTCAAACATCACATAGGTGGTCGGGTAGGAGTTGGAAGTCGATAGCGGGAAATGTTGTGGTAGAAGGAGTTCTAAGACGAGTGGATGAAGCTATTTGTGGGGTGTTCATATTGATGTTTGCGACGTTGTTGCAACGTGGTGATCGACCACCTTTCAGGTTCTCTTGTAAAAATATCCCGCATATTCGACAACAATTGACATCATGTAGCTTAGAACGTCGTTGTCTTTGATGAATTTGATAGACTTAAAAACTTTTTTTTGAAAGTATTCCATTTATTAATGATTATATTTTGTAAATCATGACATTATTCAACTGTCGTTTTGATAATGGCATTGCTTTCTTTTATCGTTGCGAGTTTGAGTTGTCTTTGGCAGGCTCATTGCATGTCCGATGACGTGTGTAGACTTTGTAATCTCTGTCACGTCCAAGTCGTCTCTCATGAGGAGGAACATGACATACATTGCGTTCCATGTTTCAAATTTTGTTCAACTCAACCAAAAGTGTGCATATGATTGACAAATTGGTCTATGGATGCATGAAAAATCTCAGCGAGTTTGTGAGTGTGCGGTTCATGAAGTAAAGATGAGTAGCGTCATGTCTCTTGCATGACGAACCTGTATGTCAAAATTAACTGGTTGTTACAATACACCTTGCTCATCACAATTGTAAACAAGTATGGATCTCAACACACTTCCTCCTGTTGGGCGAGATGATGAGTGTGTCTATCATTACACTACGTATTCTAAAAAAATCTGGATCTCTTCAACATCCAAACAACCATCTCGGGCGAGATATCGGTATTCTTGCACAACTTATGGATAACCTAGTAAAAAAATGTATTATCCAACAAGGATTCAATCATGACACCTTGCTCATCACATTTATAAACTTTAAATTGTCTTCTAAACAAGTTCGGATCTAATCAAACATCCAAACAACCCTCTCAGGCGAGAGGATGGACCTGCCTGTACAACTTTGGGATAACGTAAAAAATTATGCTATCCAATTCAATCCGAGTACATTGATCATCTTATTTATAAAGTTTAAGTATGGATCTCAGCACACTTCCGCATTAAGGGCGAGTGGATGGGTGTGCCTACGTTTCTTAGGCTGCAGCTAGCGTTGTCGAGCGGGGATCCCCGGGGGTGAAGCCGGTGTAAGACAGCGACCCCCGAAACCCTGCTACGGGGACCATCCACCCCCGCCCCCGTCAGGCCGTCGGACGACCCCCGCTGTCGCCCAGCCCCGGGTACCCCGCCGTCGAATCCTGCAGGCCCACCACCGGCCCCGCACAACAGCCCCCGCACGACACCC